CACACACACACACACACACACACACACACACACACACACACACACACAGATCCAATAAATGATTCATGTTTATGTGCTGAAATCATGAGATTAGTTTTCAAACTTTAAAATCCGACTTTAGTTTTATAAAGTAACTCAACATGTTCTGTCAGAAAGAAAAATGCAGCGCGTTCATTCAGGAAACATTCTGACGTTTCTCCCAAGACGCCCATAAAAACCTTGAAGGATTGACTTCTGGCCGTGTCTGACTGAGTGATACGTCATCTGAGGCAGAAACGTTAACATGTGCTGCAGTCGTTCTTCAACCACGACTTACGGTGAAGCTGCGGTGCTTCTCTCGGTCCAGAGGCTGCTTGCTCCTGATCACTCCAGCCTTGTCGTCGATCTCAAACAGGTTCTTGGGCTCCTGGTCCACCCCGGGCCCCTCTAACTTGTAGATCACCTCACCTGAGAAGATTTTGTCTGATTTGATCTGAGCAGAAAAACAAGGAAAAGGTTGCTCGGGATCAAATTATCTATGAAAATATGAAGTTAAGGCTATGAAACAGCTTTAAAGTCCACCAAAAACTGCCGGTCCACAACAGTTTTAATAAAATATGATGTACTTTAACGCTACATAGCTTGGGTTACACAGTCATTGTCTTATTAAAATTTTAAATAAATAAAAATCTAGTAAAAACCAAACAGATTCACTTTCAACATCTGGACCTTATGGCTCCACGTGTGTAATTACTGCGGATGGTCGAAGTAAATTTAACTTTGCCAAATTAAAATGAGTGAAATGTCCTGGTTTTATAGGAAGACCTCACTTAAATAAGAAATCAAGTTTTCATTTTTGTAAGTTTAAGACTTTATAATCCAGTTTTCCTAACTGATTTGATGAGACAATAATATGTTGTTCATGAGAATAAAAGTTTTTGTGAAGAAAAGTCCAAAAGTAATATATGTAATTTTTCACATTTTTGTATTAACAAACAGGGGTGGAGCTAGGCTTTTTTGCATGGGGTGCCACAGGGGTGGCCAAGGTGGTTTTAAGGGGGGCACATACAAAATAAATAAAACTACTCTAGATTTGAAAATTCAAGATGTCTTCCACAACTAACTTCAACCAGCTCTAATTTATCTGTTTTAAGAGATATTGAGCTAAAATTTTGGGTGTAATTCTTACATCAAAATGTAAGAATTGTAAAAAAAATACAATAGTCCCAACTAAGATAACTGCTAAGACTAATGCTAATTTCAAACACACAGTTGAAAATTAGCATAGTAGTAGCCAAGAAATAATCTTTACAAAATCTGATTTCAAATTCAAAATACAAGATGGCTGTCAAAGCTATTTTCAAATGGCTACAACCCAGTCATTTTTATAAAAACTGAGCTGAAATTTGGTGTGAGCATTATTCCCATAACGTACCCATGTTAGCAAAAAATGTTTCCTATTGTATGCCCATCTTTAAATTGCCACGTGCAAACACCACCACACTTGTCAATCATTTGGGGGTGGCCAGTCAGGTGCTAGGGGAAAGTGCCACCAGGGTCACTCCTCTGGCTCCGCCCCTGTTTTAAAAATTGTTACTTTTATAAACTATCATGTTTAGGTTAATGACCTCTAAGTTGTTGTAATAGTTAAAATCTTTGTTTCTTTGTATCTGATTATATGTGACTTTAAAACCCACTCATCGTGCATGTTTATTATAAATTTCATCTGCTCATTTTGTTTTTATTCTGTCATGGTTTTGTTTTATTGCACAATGAAACTAAACTAAACCTCAGAAAGTCATCATTTTTTACCTGGACGAGGTCCTCGGGGACCTGTTTGCTGTTTTCTGACACTCTGATCTGAGGGATAATCCAGTCTCTCTTCACTCTGACGCTGTCTTTTCTCTGACTTATCCAYGGGTAAAGAGTCTGAGGGTGCTTCTCTGCTTCGTTTTGTTCTGCAAAGCTCAGGACCTGAAAGAAAAAAAAAGGTTGACAGTAAGTTAGATCACATAAAATATTTGTTATAAACCCCAGAGAGCCACGATCACGGAAGACAAACATTATACCYTTACATCTATTTGCAGCTGTTTAACATCCCTCAAAGCTTTAATGCTCCAGCGGCCTGATGGGATGGCTGTATGCTAACGGTTGAGCGGATGCAAACGGTACTGTGGGGGTCCGGAGCAGAGCAGACAGATTCAGGTTTCACTGTGTGTCTGATGTGTTTGATTTGGACACACATTCATCTCAGGATGAGGAAACATATATATGGAGCTAATTTTGGGTCATAAAATCTGTTAAAAACATATTTTTGAAACAAAAAACAAATAAAATAAAA